CCCTGATTTCTGACATGCTGGCTACAAATGTGGGGGTTCCCCTGACACCCTCAGGGTATCGGCCATCAGCTCGGGGGTCCCCAGCCTTCCTCACTTCCTGTATGCTGGCTTCCACCACCTTGGTTCTACAGCTGGCTAGAACGACTTACTGATCTGGGGAAGCCTGACACTTACGGTTACAGTGTTATTACAGCAAAAAGGATGCAAATGAAACCTACAGGGCGTGGAGGTCATGGAGGTGGGGAGGTCGTGGAGGTCGTGGAGGTCATGGAGGTGGGGAGGGCTCCCAGGCAGAGCTTCCGTGCCCCAAAATGGGAAGAGTGACTCTTGGGTCAGCAGTCAATGCCCATGGAAGCAGCAGTCAAAGAAGTAAAGTGACTCGGCAAATCTGTTGCAAAAGACCCTTTGAAGTGTTAAAAATAGGGCTTTGGACCAGTTCCTTCCGTTTTGACCCTCTGCCAGGGGCTTGCATTTCCATCCCAGATAGACTGAATTAAATCTGCATTTGTGCAAGATCAGACGTAGACATAAGAAGTGTCTGATCCAATCTGTCTGGGGTGGAAATGCAAGCCCTCGGCAGGGGGTCAAACCAGAAGGAACCCCTTCAAAGGCCTGGTTAGAAAAGCAACGCTGTCCCCTTGAGGACTCAGGTTGACCTGCCCTGAGTCATGGTCTTGTCAATTGCCTCATAGGCTTATAAAAGCTGGGTAGTGAAAAAGGAAGAAAGAGTTGATGCATTTGAACTAGGGTATTGGTGGAGAATATTGACTATCCCATGGACTGTCCAAAGGAGGAAATCAGTCTTGGAAGAAACCAAACAGAATAATGAAGGGTGACAGTGAGAGCAACCTTCCATGAGGTGGGCTGACACAGGGACCACAGCAGTGGACTGAAACACACCAGCGAGAGAAACCGTCCATGAGGTGGGCCGACGCAGGGACCACAGCAGGGGACTGAAACACACCAGTGACCGTGAAGATGGGGCAGGACAGACAACAGTGAGCTGTGTTGTTCATAGATCACCATGAGTCGACTCGTTGCCACCCAGGAATACCACCATCCTCCCACTTGCATCAATTTCACCAACCAGGAAGCCCATGGAGCTCCCATGTCCAGATCTTTATTGGAACCTTGTAATTCATACTGCAGCCCCCTTCCCCGAGGTTGGGCTCATACCACATGGGGAGGATTCCTGACCTGGCCAGTCCCCAGCTTAGTCACCTCATTAGCATAAAACTTTCAGATGTGTTCTGCAGGCCTTCAAAGACCCTTCAGTTCCTGGGAAAATCCCAAAGCTGTAAAGGTTACTTCAGGATCCAAAGGCAAAAACCACATTCTTTGGGTCAAGTTGAATTCTTCATTCCCCATAAGGACCCCACTCAGATTGGATTATGCCCCACCCCAGTCTAATATGACAGCCATATTTCTACACAAGGTCACGTCCACAGGTCCTGGGGGTTAGGACTTCACCATGAACCCGGGGTGGGCGCAATTCAATGCACAGCACATGCTTACTGAAAGGACACTCTCGATCAACTGGTCATTTTTATGAAAAAATTCAAATATTTCCAGTGTTGAGTGTGGCATGGTTAGAGTTAGGATTTAGTGGGGATTTTGGCCAATGAGTTCTACGCATGGGAACGGGTTTTCCACAAATGGGGTGGGATTGGGCTTGGGTTGTTAATTTTTCATTTTGCCATCATTTCATGGGGGTGTGGGGAACACTGACTGAGTCATTTCTGACTCAGAGTGACCCGCATAGGGTTTCCAAGGCGGTAAATCTTCATAGAAGCAGACTGCCTCGTGTTTCTCCCACAGAGACACTGGTGGGTTTGATCCGCCTACCTTATGGTTAGCAGCTCGAAGGCTTAACCACTGCACCACCTGAGCTCAGCCTCAACTTCTGAAAGAAAAGTCCTTCTACCACCAAAATGCAGAACAGGCAACATCTCAGAATGAAGGCCAGTGTTGTCAGTGGACTGCATTCAAGCTGTCTGTTTTGGCCGTGGGTCCACCAGCCCGTTGCCTGGTGTCTGAGAAACCTCAGGTCCCTCAGCAAACCATGGCCACCACCCACTCTGGTTCTGCCCCATCCAGGTCCAACCAGGGGTGTCCCTCTTTATTTAGCCCAGTGCCCTTCACCCCTGCTTTTTC